TCCCCCCTGGGCCAGACAGATCCCTTTTCCACGTGTTGTGTTTTCTTCACTTCACTTCTCCGGATGAATAATTAATACAGGCTTTTTTGGTCCTCCGGGCCCTTCCGCCAGCCCCTTCCCCCTTCCCAGCAGGGCTCTGGTGGGGGCTTGGCCCCCCTGTGCCACCGGCATGGATGGGGGCTGTGAGGCTGTGGCACAGCCCTGCCACGGGTACCGCTGGTGCTGGGCCCCCATGGCGCTGAGTGGGACTGGGGGGGCCTCAGCAAGACCCTGGCCACCACTGTCCTCGTCCCCCTTCATGGGCTGGGGAAGCATCCACACGTCCGCAAGGGTTTTGGGGAGCCCGAAAAGGGGCCCTAAGGGGGGAGTGGCTCCGCGTCCGCCCTGAGCTCCCCTGGCAGCTTTGGGGAGCTGGGAACCCCTCTTAACCCTGGCATTGGGCAACAGATGCCCCTAGCCCAGGGCTATGCCGTGTCACCTGCCTGGGCCTGGGAGCCGCCGTGCCCGGGCAGTGGGGACACAGGGACACGGCGTTCGGCCCCGCACCGCCCCGGCCATGCTTGCCACTCCAGCGAGATGACTCCCGGCGGAAGCAGCCAGGGCCAGCTCAGCAAGCCCAGCCATGGTTTCGATAGCCTCCTGGTTTTATTTGCAAGCTCCTCGGGCTGCCAAATCTCCGGGTCGTGTGCAAAGCCGGTGCTGCCAGAGCAGGGGCCATCAGGTTGGTGCTGGCAGCACGCGCGCGCTCGGGCGCGCTCCTGCGTGGGAGCTCATGGTGAGCTGCGTGTGCCTGTGCTGGTGCGAGTGTGCTCGTGTGTGCACATGTGTGCTGGGGCGTGGATCACCTGGCACACGGGACTGCCGGGTGTTGCTAAGGGATCTTGCCGAGGACGGGCAGCTGGAGCTGGCACCCAGCTCAATCTCTTCCCGCATGGCTGGCAGGGACCGGCGCCCGGGGAGCACCCGCCAGGCCCCTGGGTACCTCTGCCGCACAGACCCTCATGGGGAAACGAGGCAGAGATGTGGGAAGAGCAAGGGGACCAGCCCTGCGGGTGGGTGCTCGGCCACATGCAGGCTCCTGCAGCAGGACGGGGCAGGCGGGAGAGCCTGGCACTGTGGCTGTGCTCCTCCAGCACCTGGGCTGCCCTGGCACGCTGGCCCCAGCCCGCCCGAGCTGGTGGCAAGTGGCTGCGTGCCCACCCTCCCAAGTGGCTGGATGCCCACCCTTCCAAATGGCTGGATGCCCACCTGCCCGCCCGCTCCTGTGTCCCCGGGGCGGCCAAACCCCTCTGCGAACACGTGTGACCCCCATGGTGCTGGCAGCAGCACCGTGAGGACCCTCTGGGGCCCTGAGCCCCAGCGCTCCCACCCAGGGAGACCACAATGTCAGTGGGACCTGGCATTGGTGCCGCCACCCACGGGGGTCCCAGTGAGACCCTAAGCCCGGTGGCATCTGATCCCGGTGGCATCCGATCCCGGTGGGACGCGGCCCCGGTGCCCCCACCCGCGGGGACCCGCAGCCCAAGCCCGGCGCGGCTCCGGTCCCCGCCGCCCGGTGCCGATGCCAATGCCGATGCCGATGCCCGTGCCGGTGCCGGTGCAGGCGGGCTC